GTTATTGAAACTCCCAAGTTTTATAGTTTTTCTAGGGTAAGTTTTGGTAAGCTACACATATATATTTTTAGGACTTTGGTCATTGTCTAAGTTTTCACATTTATTAACCAAAGGCTGTTCATGGATTTTTTTCTCCCTTGAACCTTTGCTGGGCCCATAACTCTGTGTCCCCTCTGTGCTTTTTGTGTCGTTGTCAGCCTCACAGGGCTCCGTATGTTGTATAGTCATTCACACTACACTTGGGGTGTTCGCTCTTCCTCTTACGTGTTCTACTTCACCAATTGCAACTTCTATTTTCTTTACTTCTGTCTTCTTTGGCTCCATAATCTTGTTCTTTTTCTGAATATTCCCGTTGAGCCCAGTGTTGTCAATCAGCTGCCAGAAAGTATCTCTCATTGACGAAACTCAACCCCTCCAAATGCACAGCTAACTCTCCTGCAAGCCTCTCTTTGAACCCCAGCTCTGTCTGTGTATTTTTTTCCCCTTTTTCCATTTCTACGAAGAGGGGATAGTAATACATACCTAGCAGTGTGGCCACAAGGATTCAGGATTAACCATATACGACACAGTGTGTGGCATCTAGTAGGTGCTCAATAAATGAATGCTGCACTTTTTTAATGTTATAATTAACATGATGGCAGGAGACAGGAAATACTCCCTTCCCCCCAGCATATCTCTCTTCAGCACAGTTTCCTCCTTGGGACCTCCGCCAGTTGCATATATATCCTGTCGCTTTAGAGGAACACGTTGGCTTGTGAATCTTTGTGGTTAGAGGGTCACTGCCAACTTCACAAGATCTGTGTAGTCGCCACGTGACGTTCATGTGTGTGCCCACTCACCAAGGTGCGCGGAAAACGCTCCTCCGTATCCCTTTCTGTCACTCAGATAAATTAGTATCTTGGTAAATTTTTGCCCCAAACGCCTTCTTCGAGTGGAGGAGCCCATCTCTCAAATTCATCTGTGTTGACCTGCTTTTCATTAACACACACAATCGACCCACATAGGCTTTTTACTATGTTGGTTTTAATTAGTGTCTTTTTTACTATGTGATTTTTTTTTAAAAAATAGTGAATTATAGAGGTTCGGTTTTGAGTTCATTGTAGCAATCAGTGTTGGATTTGGGCATGACAGAGGACTTGAAAGAAGCTGGAAGCGACCTGCTTTCATTGTCCTCGTGTGTATGTGTTACTCAGTAACTTGTTTATTTTTCAGTCACTCCAGAGGAATGTATTGCATGGAATTTCCTCTGGAGGTTTTCTCCCAGTTTGTATTTTTTCATGGCATACTAACATTATCGTTGACATTTGTCTTTAAAAAATATTTATTTACCAAGACTGACATTTGCAAATGGCTCCTTATTTACAACTAAGTCTGGCCTCGGTATGTGGGACACATCTCGTTGGAAATTTTCAGAATTATTAAATGGATCTCTGGGTTTATTGCTAGGGATGCAGCTTGGTGGCACGGATGAAGGAGCCACTCTGACCTGGGGGAAATGGGCTCCCCTGCTTGCCTTGTGCAAATCCTCATAAATCTCAGTTTCCCCCTTTATTTCTTCCTTTCTCTTCTCCCTCTCTCCCTCTTTCTCATTCTCTCTAAAGTGAGATGATGCTTATAAAGTGAGTTGCTCAGAGCCTAGTTCAATGAAGCACATGATGACAGTTATCTTTATTATTAAGGGAGTTCAGAGAAGGAGGGTCCCACCATTTCCCACTGCAGAGCTCTCTGTATGTGTGACAAAAAGCTAAGACAGGATCCACACTTGCCCATGGGGAACACGGCATCATGCCAGGAGGCTCTGTCCTGGGCACCAGTTTCCTCCGTCACTAGCTTCCCCAAGAAACAGACGAATCTCAAAAATCTCTGCTCTAGGAAATCCTGGTAAAGAGATGAGAGTCAGTGCCTTTACTCTGCCAAGGGCTCTTCGCCCCTTGAGCATGTGTGCTGTGCACTTCTGGGGAGTCTGGAGGAGCCTGTGGACCCTTTCTCAGAGTGATGGTTTTTAAATGCATAAAATATGAAACATAAGATTTCAAAGAAAATCAGTACCCTTGGACTGCAATTATCAAATATTTTTAAAATATTTTCATGCTATAGTAATATCTGCTTCTATGTTAATGCTTTAAATAACAAGATCTAGATCAGGTCCAAAAAATTGAAATGTCTAAATGTCTAAATGATGAATATAAATGATACACCAAGACATCTGCAGTAAATGTAATATGGCAGGAAAATATCTGTGGTTTCTGTTGGTGAAAAAGTCATAGGTACAGCTAATTCTAGGAAGTGTTACATTTTAGCTAAGGGTTAGAGAAAATTAAAAGAGGTGAATTGTGCCCATTTAAATTCACAGAGACACTGAATTTTATCCATGGAACCCAGGCTAAGGGCTTCTATTATAGTGTAGAGACTCATTTTTTATAACCTTGGAGAAGTCATGTTACNCTATCCATGGAACCCAGGCTAAGGGCTTCTGCTATTATAGTGTAGAGACTCATTTTTTATAACCTTGGAGAAGTCATGTTACATAACAAGGGAGTGTAGAGTGAACATCAGGCCTTCAGCACTAGTTACTTATGCATCCAAGAAACAATTCATGGAAGGTTCCAGTAGTTCAACAATTATATCTTGAACCCCTCAATGTTCTATCTAGATCTGGGGATAGGCTCTGAGAAAAGAAAGATAAAGTTTTTTGGGTTCTCCCTCATGTGGGACTTTTTCTTCCCAAGCAGGAAAAAGATGCCTATTTGCAGGAATGTCACTCAACTATGGTTCTTATTTAAGAACGAGGGAAATAATCTGCACACCCAGAATATGCCCCGTAAGACGCACTATCCAAGAATTGCTGATATCACTTAACNGGAATTGATGATATCACTTAACGGATGGCAATAAACTCTCCTAGTCAGCCCCCAGTGAAGAAAACCACTTTATCAAATCGAGAGGTCATATGAAGTCATTGTAAATTGTTTCTCACCAATGTGAAGTCTGAGCATTACGGCCCAGGGTTAAGGGTGGCAGTGTCACAATCTGACAGACTCTTTTCAAATGTCAGCTTTGCTTTTGCCCAAGTTTATGCTCTTGGGAAATTATTTAAACCATCTGACCCTTTTAGGTTCCCCATCTGTAAACTAGGGTTTCTAATAATAGTAGTTTCTACCTTGTAGTTTTTTTCTGATTAAATACAAATATTATATAAACTGCTTAGGACACGGCCAGGTTCATTACTAAGAATTTGACTTATGAGATTCTGTGTAGTTGGGGGCTGGCAAAAAGAAGTCCTTCCTGCTGGTCCCTGAGTATAGAAGGTGCCACATGTACAGCTGTTGGGTTTTTTTAGTAGCGCCCTAAGGGTTAATACCGCGAGAGGGTGTGGGTGGCTCCTGTTTAGATAAAGCCACATCCCAAGCTTCCTTTCTGCCCTTTTGCTATTGTGAGGGTTTTTCACCACCTCTTTGAAGTTTCAAAATTGACAGATGTTATTCAATAATTCCCTTCCCCCAAGATAGTTACAGTAGATTTTCAAAAAGAAAACACAGGAAACTTGAGGGGAAAGTAAAACTCTGGTTTCTGACATTAAAGGTGGGGGTATTTCTAGAGACATCTTCAATCAGTGACCACATACGTTTCAGGGATTTCTGTCTTCACGTTTCTCTTAGCTTGAAAAAGAGTAGAATTTAGCAAGGGAGACCCTTTTTCATAGATGGCCAGGAATTATAAAATTGTGAGGCATTTGAATCCATGCCCTTGACTCCTCTACTGGGCTATAACCTCTTTAAGGGCAGTGCCAGACCCATAGCAGGAACTCAGTAGTTCTGTGTTTAATGAATGAATGTAGCATCTGAGCATGAGGCCTGCTCATGAATGGGTACCTTTGAGGGGAGACATCTAAGGCAATAGAATTCTGGGATTCTTGCCCAACAAGCTCTCACTGAACTACCATTCACTGTCTCTTGCCCACTGAACGGGTCCCTCCATGGCCTTCTACCCAAGAGGAAAACTGTTCAACCGGCTCCTACCATGGCCAGCACGAGTCAGAGTTTGAAACACAAGACACTGTGGTGAAAGAGCTGGTGTCAGCCCACAGGGCCTGCTTCAGTGTCCAGTTTAGAAGACAGGCTACATTGCCTTCTTTAACTTCTCTCACCTTTGTTCTATTAAGTATTTCTGTTTTGTGAAACTACCAATCACACGCACACCGAAAAGAAGAATGTGGGGTGAATGTAAGGTAACTGATTTCCAAAGAGACCCTTCCCACAGATTTGTCTCCCCAGCACCGCTAGGCCCAGAGCTGATGCCTAAGGGTAGCCTGGGTGTTGATCAGAACAGGACAAGTTGGAGTCTAGAAAAGAGCGAAGACTATGGGTGCGCTATGCCAGCCTCTTTGTTTATACCAGATACCGTGCATGCAAGGTTTTGGAAGCAGGAATTGTCATTCTTGCTACATTCCCAAAGCCTCCTGCCATGCCTAGAGTATAGTCAACACTCAGTAAATGCTTTTTCCATTTATTCAACACTTGTTGAGGACCTGATGTGCGCTGGGGGTTGTGTACAGTTGTGAAGAAAGACACCGGGCCCTGCCAGCACGGAGTCCTCAGTCTGCTGGAGGTGGGGGAAGTAGGGAAAGACAGATATAAAGCCACTAAGTAGAGTCACAGTTACATTTAAATTGTGCTAAATTGTGACATAGGGAAAATGTAGGGTGCTGTGAGATTATACAAAATAAACGATGTCCCACGTTTTCCTAGGTTTCTTTTAGGCAGTGATATTTAAGCTGAAGTTTGAGGGAAGAGCAGGAGACATTGAACGAGTGGCCAGAGGCAGGGAAGACTAGACAGGAGCACACTAGCATCCGTCCCTGGAGTGAAAACTCACAGTGCATTATTTATAGCAACTGAGCCGATGCTGAGACGTGCGGACAGTGGAGGTGTGCACGCGCTCTCACGGTGCACGCCTGCTCAACCCGACTCCCCCTCTCCCTGATTTTGTTCCCGCACCAGACTATGCCACCAACAACCCCGACTTGTTGTTAGTGATACTGCAAGTGACGGGCGTCAGCCTCCTGCCGCCGCTGTGTATCGCCATATCCGTCATCATCATCTTCTACTGCTACCGCGTTCACCGCAAGCAGAAGCTGACGCCGTCCTGGGAGACCAGCAAGCCGAGGAAGCTCATGGACCTGAGCGAGCACCTGGCCATCATCCTGGAGGACGACCGCTCCGACATCAGCTCCACGTGCGCCAACAACATCAACCACAACACCGAGCTGCTGCCCATCGAGCTGGACACGCTGGTGGGGAAGGGCCGCTTCGCCGAGGTCTACAAGGCCAAGCTGAAGCAGAACACTTCGGAGCAGTTCGAGACCGTGGCCGTGAAGATCTTCCCTTACGAGGAGTACGCCTCCTGGAAGATGGAGAAGGACATTTTCTCGGACATCAACCTGAAGCACGAGAACATCCTGCAGTTCTTGACGGCGGAGGAGAGGAAGACGGAGCTGGGGAAGCAGTACTGGCTCATCACGGCTTTCCACGCCAAGGGCAACCTGCAGGAGTATCTCACGAGGCACGTCATCAGCTGGGAGGACCTGTGCAAGCTGGGCAGCTCCCTGGCCAGGGGCATAGCGCACCTGCACAGCGACCACACCCTGTGCGGGAGGCCCAAGATGCCCATAGTGCACAGGGACCTCAAGAGCTCCAACATCCTGGTCAAGAATGACCTCACCTGCTGCCTGTGTGACTTTGGGCTTTCCCTGCGTCTGGACCCCACTCTCTCTGTGGATGACTTGGCCAACAGCGGGCAGGTAAGTTAGACCTGGATTCCCTTTACCTTGTCCCTGGCCCCACCCTGCCTCTTGCTCCCTAAATAGCCCTACACTTGTCTGTGTCCCATTCGCACCTGACAGGGTGCCCTTTGCTAATGAGCAGCATTTCTCCTCCTGTTTCTTCAAATCCTGCCCAATTTAGGGCAGATCTTTTTCCTCTTGAGTCAATCTTCATTTCTCTCCCATGTGCAAATGATTTTTCTGTGCTTCAAACACTGCTGGCACGTTATCTCTATTTTTTCCCTCTTATGGCCGCCCTCAGCCCTTTCTGCTCTGTACTGTTAGTAGTTACATTGTTCTAGAAGGCAGTCTTCCTGGAGTCCAAATCCACCTAGCACAATGCCTTGAACAGGGAAAGTGACCAAGGAGCATTTGTTGTGAATGAACAGTTCCACTCTTAAAGCATCTCATAGAGTAAAAGAGGAACCCGTTTAGCTAAGGAGCTGTTGGAAAGTAACTAGAACTTGCCCATATCTGTTATGAATGACGGGGCCCCGTGTGTTCCCACACCAGAAGCTTGATTGTGGATTAGAGTGGAGTCTCCGGACCACCAATGTTTTCTCTAACCCGGTGGAGGAATGTGCTTCTGAAGCCTTTAGTCACTGCTCAGTCAGCGCCCGGGGCCCATGACTGCACAGGCACTCTAGAGGTAAACATGTCGCAACACGAACAGATTAATGTGCCAGGAGGATGACTCATGCAATGACCTATTAAAAAGAAGAATTTCTTCTAATGCATGCCAATAAAAAAACCCTTTGGGATAATAACATCAACTCACTTGACCTTCCTTAGATCCTTGGGAAGGGAGGACTTCATGGCTATTTAGTCACATTATAGGTGCTGCATCATCAAACATTTAAGGGATTCTTTCCCCAGAAATATTTTGTCTTTCCTTTTTTCCTTTGTGCCTCAGTGTTTTCATATTACCAGCCATCCTCCAAATAAAACTACACAAAGATTCAAATTTGGTCTTTACCTGGGGAAGGATTTTCATCCGATTTCATTTAGTAGAGATTTTATGAAATTATACCACATTTTCAGCTCACTAGAATGTGCCGTGAGGTAAACGGAGAAGATTAAGCCTGCCCTTAAGTGACCCAAACTTATGGCACTTACTATTCTTTCCACCGTAAGTCTTGGAATTTTGAAGAACAAGAAAATATTTAATTTGCAAAAAGCAAAAATAAACATCTGAAGTTATCACAGATGCTGCCTCCCAGGTTATCTGCAAGGATGTTATTGTCTAATATGGTGACATATATCATGGGGCCAGACAAGGCAGCTCTGGGGTTTGGCACTTCCTTATTTGGCCTGCTTTGTTTATATTCTTTAAAGGGTGTTAAGGGTGTTTGGGAAGAGGACACCTATTTATTTTTATTCTTTTTCCTTTTATTTTTTTAAAAATATATCTTTATTGATTTCAGAGAGAGGAAGAGAGAAGGAAAGAGGGAGAGAGAGAAAGAAACATCAATGATGAGAGAGTCATTGATTGGCTTCCTCCTGCACACCCCCTCCTGGGGATGGAGCCCCTCAACCTGGGCATGTGCCCTGACCGGGAATCAACCGCCATCTCCTGGATCCTAGGGCTGTGCTCAACCCCTGGGCCACGCCAGCTGGGCGAAGACAATCTATTTTAAAAAATAATTATATAAGCTCTGCCTTTCTGTGCAAGTCTCATTATTTTCAAAAGCATTGTACTTCTTAAAGATCTACCCATTGTAGGGGACAAACATCAGCTATATTTTGAAAATAAAAATGCAGTTGGAATAAAATAATGGGCCTCACTGTCTCTGTTTTTGCTTTAGGTGGGAACTGCAAGATACATGGCCCCAGAAGTCCTAGAGTCCAGGATGAATCTGGAGAATGTCGAGTCCTTCAAGCAGACGGATGTCTACTCCATGGCTCTGGTGCTCTGGGAGATGACATCTCGCTGCAATGCAGTGGGAGGTATGTATCCAGCCCATCCTGGTGCCGTGGTGGATGTGCCTTCAAAATGACGTCATGTTATTTGCTTCAAACGTGATTCCAGGGTTACCAAAGAGTAACCAAAAGGAGAGCTGGTTGAGATCTGGTAGTACGTAGCCATCCTAGTACGATTTGGAATTATGCTAAAAAGCCTAGGTCTTTAAGCTGAAAGCCATGTTTGGAGCATAAAGCTTTTGATCTCCTTTCTTAAAGTATAATTACTGTACTTCTTTCTCTTGACATATCTCTCCACAGATATTCAAATATCTGGCAAATGATCAATACTAACAATATAAGAATTATTTTTACTTATCAAATGAATAATATTTAGAAAAGTATCTGATTTTTATTTTTTGTATTTTAAGGTCTTTCAGAATTATAAGGTCTGGGAGATGGATTTGTCTCAAAATTTACCTTTATGGGCATGGCTTTCCTTTGTTGGGCAAAACAAAGAGAGTGGTTTGATGTATCTGTTTAGATTTTAGAAAACCTAGGGAAGGGAGGTTATAAGGAATGCAGCATTCTTCAGGGGTGCAGAGGAATGTCATTGCTGTAGACGGTATTGTTCCCTGATCTCTCTGGACAATGGAATGGCTGAGGTCTACATTACTTTACTCTTTCCTGACACTCTTCTCCGTAGTTTCCCTCAGGGTCTGAGGTTCCACGTTAGAAATTTATGAATCTCCACGTGGTCCTGGCTGACTGCTAAGTCAAGCCAAGCTCACTTCAATTTTATTTTTAGCTCTTTGTTTTGTAATAATTTTAGACAGACTGAATAGTTACAGAAATAGTGAAGACAGGAAGTTAACATTGGCACAATACCCTTGTTTAATCAATAGGACTTACTCAAATTTCTGAGTCCCTAGTGATGTCGTTTTCTGGAACAGAATCTAACCCAGGATCCCCCATTACATTTAACGTCCCCACCTCCTTAGTGTCCTTCAACTTGTGTCAGTCTCAGTCTATTTTTGTCTTCTATGACCTTGGCACTTAGGAAGAATTTAGGCCAGTTATTTTATAGACAGTCTCTCACCTTGGGTGTCTCAGATGTTTCCTCATGATCAGAGTGAGAACTGTATATTTTGAACAGGAATACCACAGAAATGACATGGTGCCTTCTCAGCATCTCGTACCAGGGCCTGTTCAACTCGATCGCTTGGTGGAGGTGGTGTCTAGCACGTTTCTCCCCTGTAACTTTTTTTTCCATTTGTAATTAATACATATCTTGTGGGAAGGTTCTTTGACCTGTTTCTTATCATTATCCTACCTGCTAATTTTAAGATCCGTGAGTAGTTCATGCCTGCAACAGTTATTACTGTACTGTTTTCCTAGCAGCATTTCTCTATTTTTCTTACTCTTCTGTTTATTATATTCTACTGTAAAGAATAGCTATACTCTTTCACCACCCCATTATTTACATATTTAACTTTGTATTTATATCAGTATGGAGTTGTGGGTATTTATTTTAATCTGTGGGCATGGGATAGTATCGTTATTTATCTTGTTGCTTAGATAGCCACAGCTTGACCCCTGGGCCAATCTCCCCAATGTGTTGCCCAGCGTGGACCTGGTTGGCACCCTTGCCGATCACCTGCTCCCCTGGGTCCCTGCTCGGGGATGGCACTTCCTGTCTGGCTGACACTGTTATTCTCTGTTTTCCTGCCTCAGATTTCTTCCCCCACAGCACTTTCAAAAGTCACTCGGTTTTTTTTCCTTGCAGTGAAATTTGTTTAACCGGGTTTCAGCCGCTGAGAATAGTTTTCTGTTTGAAAGCCTTGACAGTTCCCAAATGAATCCTTGAAGACCCATGTGCACTGAGAGGGAGACGCTGCTCTTGTCGCTGTCGGAATGCATTTACCTAAATTGCGGCCTCCTGCCCGTCCTGTGGAAGCCATGATGCTGTAAACATGGGCTGGGGCGGCGTCTCGGTGCCTTGCCCGTCGCAGCTTCCTGCCCGCCGTTATCAGTGACGGGCCCTTTCCTGCGGCTGTTTGCTGAGTGTGGAAGAAGCCGGGCCGTGGGGAGGAGCGGGCCTCGCCAGCTTTAATAGCTCTAAAAACAGATGCAGTGTAAACAAGTCTCCCCAAGGAAGGAACAGGGCCTCATCTGTTCAGCTAGTCTCAGAAAGCCCTTTAAGGTAAGAACAGACAGGCGGCTTTTGGGGAACCGGAAAGAGGCCATCCCGGTTCTCATTTTGTTTGATATCCAGCCCACAGTCCTGTTTCTTCCATCTCTGCTCAGGCTGAAAAACCCCCGAGTTATTTATCTATCGGCATGTTGGTCCAACAGAAAGCCTTTCATTTGAGTAAATGTGTGAACTCATTTATTAAGTCCCTTTTTAAAAAAAAAAAATAACTTTCTTTGAATAGCATTTTTTTTTTCTTTTCGGTATGCCTTGAAAATCTTAAAGAGAGATTTTTTTTTTTTAAATTTTTTTTTTTAGCCTTGTCTTAATTTCAGGCATTGCTTTTACATTTCAAGGGTCTCTTGGAAGGTACATAACGCCTAGAGATAAATGGGTTCCCTCCCGGCTGCTGTGGAAAACACACGTGTAAAGACCGGTCTTGCTCTCAAGAAGCATGTAATTTACTGATGAATCAGACTTTTTTTTTTCCTTCTTTACTTCTTAAAAATTTACACATGCAGACACAGTTCTTCCCTTACCAAGAAAATCGATAATGATTCCCTCTAGTTGATGTCCGGCTTTAATTTATAAGGTCTAAGAAAGAGGGCAGGCTGTAAACTGGCTTTCCTCAACCTTAAATTTGTCTTCTGTGACTTGAAATAGAACATATGCAATTACTATTTTTTCTTTGCCAGTCTCATTTCAAAAAGGAAATGTGGAATATGCTCCCCGTAGTTTGAAGAGGTATGGATTGACATTTTATTTTACAACTAATATTCCATCCAATTTATTCTGAGCGGGAGATCATCTGACTGAATGAAGTAGGATACCTAGCAGCTGGGGACAGTCTTGCAGGAGGATGTGAGCTCCCAGTTTTCCTGCCTTGGAGCAAGTCCATTCTGTTCCGAGGGTTGAGCCCAAACTCTTCATGTGGGTGCCAGCCTGGCCCTGGCTTACCTCTCTGGGCTCCTCTCCGCACAGGACTCTTTTCATTCTGCGGTCACCTTTGTGGGCATCTTTTAGGTCTCACCTCCAGCCTCTGTCTCATACTGTTCCCTGGGACTGGAACCCTGAAATCGACTTGTTACAGGCAAGTGCAGTTCGGGCGTGGTTAGTGCCGCAGGAAGGTTAGGCGGGCGCCCAGGGGACTGCATGCCCATGCTGGCTAAAGGGAGTGCGGCGGTGGAGTCAGGCAAGGGGGAGAGGTCAGCTCTGGGAGGAAGGCGAGCCTCCGCAGTGTGCTCCGGAGTTGCTTCTTGTGCGGCCAGCCTCTCCTCCTGCAGAGCAGCAGCACAGATAGAGCGGGACACTGGGGAATCCTCACTTATCAGGTGAGAAAATGCAAACAGAATAGTGATAACAGCACTCTTCTGAAGCCAATCGGTGCAACTCCATGACCACAGATTTTCACCTGGGAGCTCAGGAGATGGGTTGTCATAACTGAAGAGAGTGGTCAAAAGGGAAAGGCTTTTTGGTAGAGGTAAGTTTGGTCATGTAATAAAACACAAAGGAGTACTAGCTACCAGGACATGAGCACTTGCTTCATGGATCAGTTCGTTTCATCTAGCAAGGACTCTTTGAAGGATGTACTATTATTAGCCCCATTTTACAGATATGCAAACAGAGGCTTCAAGAGGGAGAAAATTGTGGAGCCAGAAATCAAAGCCCTGTTGTCTGACTGTAGCCCAAAGGCCCTAACCTTCCTAGTAGGTGCTGGCCTGACCAAATAGAGTTCATGTTTAATAAATGGCAGGGACAATTGCCATTCTTTTCATTATGGATGGGGTAGTCGGTACTACTTTGTGCATCCTGGCCTTTGACACAAAGCCTCTCTGGAAGTCCCTGCCAAGACAGTCACACATTGAGGAACCCTCAGTGATGGCCTCACCCCTGAAAGAGTCTAATGATCAACCTTCCTGCCTCCTGCAGGTGAATTTCTGTTAATAGAATCCCAAGGCTACTAAATTATGTAGCATGTTTCAGGCTTGGAGATAATTTCCTTATTCAACTTTTCTGAAGATAGATTCATTCACTCAACAAACACTATTGAGTACCTATTACATGGCAGGCATTATTCAAAATACTCAAGGGACTGAGTGTCTAATGAAGAGCTAATATTCTAGAAAGACAAGAAATGAACAAGTAGATATAAAACATAACATCGAGGGTGGATATGATGGTTTTAGAAAGAAAAATAGAGCAGAGTTAGGGCATAGATACTGACCGAGCACGTTATTTCAGATACTTTGATTGTCTGGAACAATACGAGAGAAAAACCCAGAAAACAGGGCTTTGTTGTTTTTGAAGAGGGAACTAGCTAGAAGGAGGTGACTGGTACGTTACTGTTTTATGAAGGAGAGAAGTATTGAAATCTCCACGCAGCAGCGACAAACCCAGAGACCGGTTCTCTTCCACAAAGAAATCTCTGTCCGTGGCTTTCAGTTGCTTTGGTGTTCATGCAAGTGTTTGTGGGGTGTGTGGGAGGCAGATGAGGGTGGGGTGCCTCCCAGGGCCCCCTTTGGCAAGCACCACGGCAGGCGCAGTATTCATGCCATCCCCAGCCAAAACCTGCGCACGAGTCCACCAACTTCCAAACCTCTAGCTATTTAGGCCTTTGAATGGAAGCTGACACACAGCAGCCGGCTGAGCGAGAGTTTAACAAAGAGGAAAAACATAACCCCAGGAACGGCTCCTGAGCATACTGTCAGCTTGCTGCTGCCTTGTGAGACACACAAAAAGTGCAAAGGCATCAAAAAGAAAGTAAAGGGGGAAAAAAGAGGGGTGGGACCGAAGGACTGAAGACCAAAAAGACTAGGATGGAAGCACTCCATTTTCCTGGATTTCGGGGGAGTCTAAT